CTACGGTGCCTCCCTCCGGAAAATGGTGAAGAAGGTTGAAATCAGCCAGCACGCCGAGTACACCTGCTCCTTCTGTGGCAAGACCGAGATGGAGAGGCGGGCCGTGGGGATCGGGCACTGTAGTGCCGGCATGAAAACCATGACTGGTGGCTCCAGGACCTACAATACTACTTCTGCGGTCACAGTCAAGTCAGCCATCAGAAGACTGAAGGAACTGAAAGACCAGTAGAAGCTCTTACTATTTGAGATATTCCTCGCCTATAATAAATGGGTTAATTTATGTAATGAAAAAAAAGAATCTTTCAAATGTTCATCAATCATAGACTGGATTGATAAACTATTATATACCCACTAAATGGAGTACCATGCAGCTAGAAAAAAGATGGTGACTATCTCTCTGCACTATTGTTTTTCCAGTTTTCTAGTTATTTACAATGGTATGAAAATTCAAGATCCATTTTCTCTTTTATGGTTGGAATAGAAACTTCAAAGAGCTATTTTTAAAAGTAGCATTTTGTACTATATTTTCTATAAGTATAAAGTTACATGTGTCTTTGTCTCACTTTAAGAAATGGCCATACAGGGCTGGAGAGATGGCTCAGTGGTCTAAAGCACCTACTTGAAACAAGCTTGACAAAGCACAGGGACCGCGGTTCGATCCCCCAGCACCACATGCCAGCCAGCCGCGCCCCCTGGAGGGCTGAGCTGGCCACACACAGACACACACACACACACACACACACACACACACACACACACACTAAATAAACGTTAAAAAAAAATTTAAAAAAAAAAGAAATGGCCATACATTATGTATACTTTTTGCTTCTTTGTATTTTTAAAATTAGACAAAAAAGCAATGTAGGATTGGGAATTCTGGGAAAGTGGGGAGATGAGTCAGGCAGGCTTTCTATTGGCAAACAAATTCTGGATGATAGAGCACAGGAGAGCCCAACAAAGGCCAGAAAATCTTAGCTGATGATAAAAGTATTGAAATTCATGGAGGCTGAGGCAGTTAGCATGTAAAGGATGGATTATCCAAGAGCAGGGAGCACAGAAAGGATTCCAGAAATCTGCATACAAGGCTCCATGAGTCTATAGCTGGATGCTACTTTACACACATACAGGATAAAACTTCCTAAATTCAGGAGAGAACAGGCTCTGGGCACAGGATACTATCGGGAAGCTGTAATAGGAGCTGTCCCCCAGGCACACACAGAGCTGGGTACAGCTAGGCTTTTTCCTCTGTGCCACTCTCCCTTCCACCAGAGCAAGAGAACTTGTTGAATACAGGGAGCATTTGAAAGAAAGCCCAGAAAAGAGACAACTTAAAAGTGAGGTAGAATATTCCTAGAGTAAAGGTCATTTTAGACCTGGTCTAGATGAGATTAGAAATAAGAAAGTTCACCTGCAAGTACCTGTATACTGAAACAAAAAAGTCTAATATCCCTTACAAAAATATAACAACACAGAGTCATCAATACAGTAAAATGCATAACTTCTGATATCTTACCAAAACTTATCAAACAGGCAAGGAAAAACAAAAGTGACTCTTAGGGAGAAAAATCAAAGATACAGTCCCAGGAGTGACAGAACATTAAAATATCTGTTAGGGATTAGAAATATGCACAATTACATAAGGATGACAAACAGTACACAAGCATAATGGAGACCAAAGTGGGAGACATGAAAGACCAAATGGGATGATGTGAAAAATACAGTATCTGAAATTCAACTGATGGGATTAATGCTGGATTAGATTAGACCTGACTAAGAGAAAATAAGTGAACTAAAAGTCATAGAAACATTCTTATATGAAAACTCATCCCTGTTGGGGGGCTTGAAAGATCAACCCCAAATTCAACTGATCCATTGGGACCCATAGAACTCACCATGTGTTCATTGTTACGGTGATCATTTATGGCAGTGAAAAGAATCAAAGTAGAACTATCAGAAGGGAAAAGCAGGTGTTCAGCGTAAAGCATGTTGTTTATACAGTGTTCAGGCCCCGTGAGC